GAATTTTTTCAAGGAAATTTTATTATCTAAGAGGTCAACTGAAATTCAGTGTACAAAATTATGATTAGTTCATTAAAACAAACTAACATTTAAAACAGACGCACACACACACACATGCACACGTTATGTATGTATATTATAGACATTGAACACATTGAATCCAACCTGAATACTTTTGATTTCTTGCTCTACATGTGTTTCTTATCTCTATTTTCAAATTATGATTAAATTTTCTCTTGATAATTTGAAAATGGGACATTGATTTTTTGTTTGAAATAAGTTCAAATCCCAATGTGGGATTAACACAAACATTTGAAATGACCTTGCGATTACATTTCCCCTCACGGGAAAATCCTTGACTGTTATTGGTTGTTGTATTAGTTTAGTACGCTCTTTTTTGTGGCTCTCTCAAAAGTGGTTCCTATCATGTATAAATAAATTGGATTTGTATGCTTGTAAACCACACATATATTCTAGTTGCTTGTAGAATACACTTTCTACGTCTTATCACGACATCTTTTCCTCTACTTAGTGTGTCCTTGAGTTGGTCGGATTAGAGCATAGCATTGAGCTTAAAGCTATTACGGGTTCATCATGCAAACAAGACGATGAGCCAGAGTTCAGTTAGGCTACCTTGATCTGAAAATGGTAGTCTTGATAAGCCTAGAAAGTATATTCTACAAACACTCAGCAAGCACAATGCAATCAAGCACACAACTCTCGTTTATTTATAAAGCACAGAAACTTCCTTGGGACAGTCACAAAAATAGCACACTAAAATACACAACAGCCAATCACAGCCAAGAATTTTCCTGGTGGGAAATGAAATCTCAAGGTCAGGTTGTGGTGTGAGCTACTTATAAGTAGTATATGACGTGAGTGTCAACGTAATGTCTGGCAGCAGAAGATGGGGGAAGATCAAGAAAGAAAGAGTTAGAAGAACACAATGTAATTTGTATGAAAAGCATGAATGATGACAATGGATTGATGTTTTGCAACAGGAACAGTTCAGTTCGATATGATGATGGACTGATATTTTGCAAATGAACGATTTACGATATGGTTTTCCTATTTTACTGAGTAACTTTGTAATTTTGGTTAAATACAATCCGGTCGCCCCACCTGTGTTCTCTTACACTACAAGGTGATCAGCCAATGCTCGCAAGTATGAAATCCAGAACAAGGTATTTATCAAGCGAGTTCTAGGGATCTAACGTCTTCGACAGGAGATTTTAGAGATACTCTACTGAAATCATGAATTGATCAAAATCAGACCACTATAATTAGAAGCCTGTAAACACTGAACGGCAGTGCTCACCGAATATAGTGGATAAGGTTGGATAAAATCTCGGATTAATCACTATTATACACCTGCTCAGTAGTCCAGAGGTCGTGCGTTTGCGTTCGAATTCCGAGAGTACTAGGAGTCTTGGTTGCTTATTGTCACTGATGAGTTCCATACTATAGCGAGACAGCTACCATTCAGTGCTTCTAAGTTTCTATTGGTCGTGATCTAACAATTTCAGTTATACGATATTTATGATTTGTCCAAAATGAAATTTATTAAAATCAACTTTTATGAAAAAAAGAATGAAATATAGAGAACATTGAAACTTGAACTCACTCATTGTTTATCGCTTTAGGGCGCTAAATTCAAATTAAACTATTATTCACTCTAGTACTTTTTTTTTACAAAAAAATAATCTTTACTCTTAAATTGACATTGTTTCTTATTGAAAATAAGACCCATATTAATAATAATGAAGAATGAGGATAATTTTTTTTTAGAAAAAAATTATCTGAAAAAAAAACTTTCTTTATTATTATTATTATTATTAATATAATTTATTTTTTCTACAACAAAAATAGAAAAAAAAATAGAAACTGAAAGTTCTTTTAATTTTTTTGTAGGCTTTTAATCCATTTAAACAAAAAAAATTTATAATAATTAACCAATTAATTTTTCAAAAATGAGAAAAAAGAAAATAAAATTAAATTTTACTAAAATCTGAAAAAAGGGGAAATTTTTTTTTCGAAAATAAATTATTCTTATTTAATTTTTTTTTTTTGCTGTAGAAAATTTTGTTATTGAAACTAGTGAAACATTGAAGAACAATAAGGGGATTAAATTGTCAATATTATTATTAATATTATTATTATTATTAATAATATTATTCTTAGCATTGAATTTGTAAGCGAGAAAAGTGTCAATGATGATTTATTCTCTTGCTTGTGTGTGTCCGTGTGTGTGTGTGTACTGTATGTCTATGCATGCATGACTGTCAGTACTATTGTATGTCTGTCTATCAATCGATTTATTCTAAAACCATACATGCTTTTCGTTCGTATTGTATGTGTATTGTGTGTGTGCGTGTGTGTGTGTGTGTGTGTCTGTCTATTGTTATCTTACAATCAGTTACATTGTGAGTGTAGTAATTTTTTTTTTTGCAAAAATAAAAGTCAGTTTGAATTAAATAATTATTATTAATTATTTTTTCGACTTTATTAAAATAAATTTTTTTTTCAAATTAGAGTTATAGCGATTATTGTCCGTGCACATTTTAAATCAATCAATCAATCAATCAGTGATTGTTAGAGACCACCATCATTAGAAACCTGATAGCACTGAATGGTGGACGTTTCGTCCTGGTAAGGGACTTACTCATCAGCAGTTTCGTAGATGCAGTGAAAAGAAAAACCGTTGGATGCCACCAAAGATCCCTAACACAGTTTGAATTACGGGGTTGTGAAGATTGTTAAGTGAATTTGATCAAGTTAGACATTAACACCGTTAGATACCGGCTCAGTGGTCTAACGGTTAGGGCGTTCGCGCACAATACCGAAGGTCCTGGGTTCGAATACTGCGGGGTGCAGGAGTCGTGGATGCGCACTGCCACTGATGAGTCCCATAGCAGGACGAAACGGCCGTCTTTCAGTGCTTCTTCCAGGTTTCTAATGGTGGTCTAACATTGATCGATTCATGGTTTCAAAAATGTGTAACTTAACAATCTTCACAACAACCCCGTAATGCAAATTACTAGTGCTCACTAGTGACTAGCTTCGTGAGGAATCTTCTCCGAGTTCTAGTGGGAAGACGTGACCAGTGAAGTTCAACATGTTCGGGTGTAGGCAGTGTCTACCGAAGACTGTGTATGAGGTTGCGCAATTCCGTGAATTTGATCAAGTTAGAGATAACACCATTAGATACCGGCTTGGTGGTCTGACGGTTAGGGCGTTCGCGCACAATACCGAAGGTCCTGTGTTCGAATCCTGCAGGGTGCAGGAGTCGTGGATGCGCACTGCCAATGACGAGACCCATACCAGGACGAAATAGCCGTCTTTCAGTACTTCTTCCAGGTTTCTAACGGTGATCTAACATTGATCGATTCATGATTTCAAAAATGATTAACACGGTTGGATGCCAGCTGACAACACCGAAGGTCTTATGTTCGAATTCTGCGAGCAACAACAGAAGTCTTGGATGTGCATTGCTACTGATGAGTCCCGCAATAAGACGAAATGGCCATCTCCCAGTGTTTCCAGGTTTCTAACAACTACAGAGAGTAACTATTCAATTACTGTAGGATCATAGTATCCTTCTGATTGAGGTGATTGCAGAGTGAACACAACACAATACATGTAGGATTTGCATTTTCTGACATTGAGTGAAATCGTAAAAAAACTGTAAAGCTTTTCGATTAAAACTAGTTAGTTCAATGAATGAATACAAGGAAACTGAAAAGCTTGTATTGAATTACATGAGAAAGGTGTTTGTTGTTGAGTTTTGGTGAATTCTGTGCTAGGATAAAACAGTTGTCTAGTGTTCTCCAGGTTACAAATGATTCGATAAATTATATTCGGGAATATATCTATATAACTTGCTTCCGCCTCTTATGCCCAAATGGAATACAGGCCGTCCACCAGCATTCTCAGATAACCTACATTGTTCAAGACCTTCCTTCCCAGTTCCTTGCAACTGGTATTTATTCTTTTCATTTCTTTCTTGACTTGTCTACATAGTATGTTCTTTAATCTACCTTGTTTTCTTTTGTCTTGATGAATCTAAGTCAGGTTTGACCTCGTATGGAGCTGAGGGATCTCCGCAATATGTGTATCCTATCCATCTCCAGCTGACTTTTTCAGTTTCATTTTCAGCTGGTTTGTTCACCCCCACATCTTATTTGGCCAATGGTTGTAAAGTGTCGTGTGTAGAAAGTTTTTAATCAACACTTGTATCTTCCAGATGATGGCTTTCGTGGTCACCCAAATTTCTGCTTCATACAATAGAATTGGCTTGACTTTTTTAATGAAAATGATGACTTTAGTGTTGGTTGAAAGTTTCTATGAGTTCCGAATGTTCCTCAATTGTAGAAATACTTTCCTTACTTGGCTGTTCCGCGCCCTCAGATCTTCATCAGATCAACCGTACACATCAGTTGTGCTTCACAGATAAGTATGGGTTTTCACACCCTCCAAGGCATTCCCATCACAAGTGATATGGTTTTTGTATATTGTGTTGTATCGAAGAATCTTTCTTTTTCCTTTATGTATGTTGAGACCAACTGCTGCAGAGGCTGGTACTGTCTACTCTTACCTTCGATGTTGTGTCTGGGATAGAAGATTCAGATCATTTGCTAAGTTCAGATTGTCCAGGTGCCTCTTGGTTGTCTACTGTGTCCCGTGCTTCCTCTCAGATGTTGACAGTAAGCAACCTTTCCTGACACCGGTCTTCACCTCGAACTAGTCTGTCATCTGTCCTCCGTGGACGATTTTACAGTTTAATCCATCTACAGTATGGTCTTGTCCAAGTGCTTACTAAGATCAATGTACGCTACCTTATTATAGTTGCTATCTCATTAGCTAGAACTCAGATGGAATTCGTTTGTCACAACAGCTTTACAAGGTGACTTTATTTTACAATGATTCTACTGCATATTTTGTGGTTGACTTAATAGACTATTTTTATCTTCTATTTGTATTTTTTTAAATTTTAGAATAATTCTGTAAATTATAACAATCATAATCAGTGCACCCATGAAATTCAATGTTTAATTTCTTTTCAAAATATCAATGTTCAATCTTATCAACGCATAAACCAATGAAGTAAGTGAACACACATTTTTTCTCAACTATAAAGTCATAATTATTACTTTGGCTCAGAGTATTTTGGAGGTTTGTGTTTTTACACATTCGAAATTATCACTCAACCTTGAAAAACTCTGCCCCAAAATATCGTAACAGTGTTCGCTAGTGACTAGTTGCTTCGTGAAGAAATTCTCGTAGTTCTAGTTGAGAAGACGTGACCAATCGAGTTCAACCCTGTCGGGTGCAGTAGGCAGTAAGTAACTACCTAAGACAAATGGGTGAGGTCGTGCAAAATCCATTTAAAAATACTGAGCACCTTCTAGTAAAATCCAACGATTCTATGATGAAACACATTTTTAGAGTGGTTCTTGATTTTAGTCAGTTGAATAATTAAGGTCAATTCTTAATGAACACTATAAAAATTGCCCATCTTCAATGATTTTTTCTTGAGAAGGAGAAAGAACTTGGAAAAAACAGGCTGAACGTGAATAGGACATACATTACGACAATTGCAAAACTACCACACGAAACAAGCCTCGACTAAGATTTCTCAAGACCTAACAAAAACTAGATAGATCAAAGTAAACGTTACGTCAAGAATGATTAGCACAATTGGTTAGAACTGGATTATAGAGAGAGAGAGAGAAAGAGAGGTAGAGCTTAGGATAGAGAGTTAATCAATCAGAAATCTTGATCAGCGGTAGTTTATGCGACTTCACAAGGCGTAACAAGCATTACTGCGTTCAAAATTCAATAATCTAAACACCGATCGGTCTTTTGATATGTCATTTGTCACTGAATAAAAATTTTTGTTGAAACATTTTCCTCATTTATCATCAGTGTTTTGCCTGTTTGTATTTTGATGTGCATTCACCTCACCACAAAACTTATTTACATTTCAAATGACAATTTTATTGATTATTTCCATACTGTTGTACTGATATGTGACTGTATTTGTGTACAGTATTATTTATGGCGAAAATTCAATTGTGATGATTAATTCAAGTGTAAAAGTGTGTATGTAATGAATAGCCAGCCATGTAGTTCAGTCATTGATTTTAGAATTATCAATTATGCCCTTGAATCTATCATGGTAGCCAACTAGAATTCTCTGAACTATCAACTGTAGTGTGAACTATGGTTTTGAGTTATGCCCAAAAATGTTTTCTTTTAAAGTTTTTTCTGATGTCCATTTACAATGATCGACGCATCTCTTCTCTGTTCACCTTGTCACTCAGTTAGGTACAATGTGGAACTTTGTATGTACATACATCAGTTCAAGTTACCGTGCCGCTTCAACACAAAGGCGCAACTTTCAGTTCAAATTCAATAGTGGTAGAGATAGTGGAAGTATTAGCAGTAATGGAGAAGATTAGGGTTCGAAGATATTATTCAAGAAGTATAATTCAGTGAGATAAACTTAGGAAGAGAGAGATGATGAGGAATTCCGAAGGTTAGAATTAGAGAGAACACAAAGAGTGGATACACCTGCGCCATTGCAAACGATTCTGAGCAATGTCGTTCAAGGTCTCTAACCATTGGTGACTTTCGTCTCGCAGACCCGAACCAGGTAGACTACATCCACCAACCAACATGACTCAGTCCACCTGTCAATGACTTCATGGATTTGTGCCATGTTTTGGTTAGGCGGCCCCTAACTTTCTTCCAACCTACTCCTACACTACAAAACATAGCTCGTCGAGGCAGTCGGTGGTTAGGCATACGTAACACATGTCCCAACCACCTCAACCGATGGAGTTTCACTACTTCATTTATGGATTTGCCATCCTTACCTAGAACTCGTTTCCTAACGACAGCATTGCTTACTCAGTTGTCCCACGATATACGAACAATGCTTCGAAGACATCTATGATCGAATACTAGCAACCTACGAACATCTTCTACTCTTAACGGCCATGTTTCACATCCATATAGGAGAACGGAGCGAACTGCTGTGCAGTACACTCGTCCTTTGGTTAGCGAAAGGATATCTCGCCTGCACCATCAATGACGCCAGTTGAAAATAACCAATCGAGCTTTCGTTATCCATACTATTCACCTTGAGGAATTCAAGTTAGGGCTTTAGTCATGATGCAGTTAAGTGCTTTCTTTCATATACTCTATTCACTTCTAGTGCTTTTTTCCAACTTCTTCTTCAGTTGGAACTGGGTTTGTTCTTTGTCACAGTAGACTGTTGCTGATAAAGTCCAGCGAAGAGTTGTAGAGCATCTTGCATCGACAACTGTAGACGATAGTTTTTAAAACAGCTTCAAATATTAGCTCCATACATTTGAACAAATTTTACTTTGGTATTGATTTATTTTGTAAACTGTGTGTTTAAATTTTAAAATGAACTGTGCGAACTTTTCAAACAACCTTAAAAGATAAAAACTGACGGATAATGATATTCACTTATAGATTTAATGACAAAGTTACACACCAATGAGATACTATGATGGATTTTTAAAAATCAGTGTATGAACTCATTGGTAGACGTTAAGTTATTGAGTTTAATCTCTGATGAAGTTTATGCTTAGGCTGTTTAGTTTGATCAGTAATTTTGTTTGTATGAAAAGGTTGTGTAGATGATTGAGTCACCTTATTGAAATCATAAATTGATCAATGTAAGATTACCATTAGAATCTTGGAAACACTGAACAGCCGTATAGGACTAATCAGCAGGTTAAGCGATTGCGTGCAAGACTGTAGGTCCTGGTTTCGAATCCTCCGAGTTGCAGAAGTCGTGGGTGTGCATTAGTGATGATTGCTAGACTGGGAAGAAACAGTTGTCCTTCAATGCTTCCATGTTTCTAATCTTGTCCCTAAAAATGATCGATTCGTGATTTTAAATGAGAACTGACATGATCACATTTATTTAAGTAATGAATATTTGTTTGTTTTGTGTGTCATCTCTATCAAAAGGGAAAAAATAAATCGATGTATAAAATCAATGAAATCATGAATCAGTCATTGTTCGACCCTCATTAGAAAATTGGAAGCATTGAATGGCGGCCGTTTGATTCTGATATAGGACTGATAAATGGCAGTGCGAATCTACGACTCTTTCTAATGGCAGGATTCTTACCTCGGACTTTCGGCTTTACACGCGAACACCTAACCTCTTGACCACTAGGCCGTCATCCTACGGTGTTAATGCCTAACTCTGATCAATCTATGGATTTCGCACAATCTTAACCATTTTTCTTCGGTAGTTACTGCCCATTAGAGTTGAACTCTACCGGCCATATCATCTCACTAGAACTTTGAGAAAATCCTCACGAATCTAGTCACTAGAATGAGCATATATGAAGGTATATATATAAAAACAGATCACTCTGTTGTTGTTTGATTAGCGGAAATACAATTTTTCATTTATCGAAATTATTTGTTTCGACATTGAAAACCTCCTACATATGCGGCTTTACTTTGAGCATATATTTTTATATATATATAAATAGTTTGACAGATAGATTTTATCTAGACTTTTGGTATTGAGTTATTTTTCTGAAATCAGTTTTGTAACAAAAACTTATTTCTTTGAAATAAAAATATTTTTAATCAGAAAAGAAAACTTAAACGGAAACTGGACAATGATTAATTAACTTGTATTGATTGTTTGTCTATTTGGTGTATATATGAGCATACCATGAGGATATAGTCAATTTGGTTATCGAAAAAAAAAATGCATTTTACCTTACTCTAATTACACAATTTTCTCCAACCAACTCTTTCCTGGGCTTCACTTTCTGGTCCTTTCCAGTTTTTGTTCATTCTTCTCATGTCTTTCTCTATTTCTCAACGTATTGTGTTCCTTGGACTTCCTCTTTTCATTTGACCTTGTGGGTTCCATGTGAGGGCTGGTCTTTTGACGCAGTTCAGTGCTTTTCGTATTGTGTGTCCTATCCACTTCCACCGCTTCTTCATGATTTCTGCCTCCACTGGAATCTGGTTTGTTCTCTCCAACAATAAGTTGTTGTTGATAGTTTCTGACCAACTTATCCGAAGTATTTTTATCTTAGACAACTGTTAATAAACACTCCTCATTAAGACTTCTTGCTCTAGTTAGCAGGTTCGTTGGCAATCGGATTAGAATAACCTATCGTGTCATTGTATCGTTGATCATCGTTCCGTTGACTAAGTAAGGTGAACTCGTGATAGTCTCCAAGTACACGAACTCGCGAGCCTATCCATTCCATTACATAAGCGAGTGATAATCTGTAATCAGTAGCTGAATTGATGCGGTTATGTGTTTTTAAGCGTAACGAGTTGGGATGAAGTTTTTCAGTGAACATCAGCTCTGAGATTTTGTAGGTATATCTCGTTAGAGACGAGTCTGAATTAGGATGAGACGTGCTTACTGAATTCCACTTGTAGCCACAATCCATCTATGTCTACTGTTAAGAATCATGTGGATTGCTTTGGTATTGATTCGTTTGTATTTAAGTCAGATTTTTGTTTTTAATGGGTTCAACTGTCAAGAAATGTTTTGTTTTTTTAAAGATAAAACTGAGAATATGAGAATAATTTGATATGAATTATTTTACTGTTTAAACTCAGAAATCAATCATTGTTAGACCACTATTAGAAATCTGGAAGCACTGAAACACGGCCGTTTCTTCCTGGTATGTGCGCATCCACAACTCCTGCATCTCGCGGGATTCGAACCCGAGACCTTCGGTATTGTGCGCGAACGCCTAGTTCGAAAGAAGTATCTTGGATTTCAATACTAAAACAAGTTGCTTATTAGTAAGTGTTATCACTTGTGAATCGTGAGGTTTCCAAGTTTTCTACTTTCAATGTTCAGTTTCAATGGTTTTACTCATGAAATCCATCTGTTTAATGGTAATCCATTACACAGAGAATGGACTGAATTCATTTTTTAAAGATATACTTAAACCAATAAGTTCGTGGCTAGATGAACTCCGTAGCCTGATAGTTAAGTAGCTAGAAGATTGTTGGGAATGTTACTGTTCGGAGCACAAGTTCAAATATTGACAATCATAGTAAGTTGATGCATC